AACGTGTATTTTCTTTGAAATTTATAAAAAATAAAGATTCCAATTTCAACGTGTTCATCTTTAATAACATTAAAAATCGCAGACACTAAACATTGACAAGTATCATGCATTCTTCATTTTTCAGGGTGGAGCCAAATCCCTCCCTGAAAATCTTGGTCATGCTTTGTCTCTAAGTGATGAGGACTCGGATGATGAAGGTCCGCTACTTTCTATCTTTCACTTTCAAATTCTAAAAATCTCTAGCTTCAACTAACATTAAAATTTTGTTCCAGCACGATCAGTTGTCACTTTTAAATTAAAAGATTACTTGGATAAACGGACAACTCAGAAATGTAAAAGAAATTTCAAACACTTGGGTATCCTATTTTTGAATATTTCAACTTACATCATTTTTTGTTTCCAGTTGTTAATGGCATCAACCGAATGTGTATTCTGGGGTATTTTAGGTGTCTGGAACCAGAGCCTAGAAGCATTAAGAAAAAATGTCTCCCCAAGTTGCAGGGTCCGGAGCAAGACATGGTTGATGCCTTCAACAAAATACTAAGTTCACTGCCAGACCACATTTCCCAAAAAATTAATGAGTTACATGAGGAAGCAAAACGTTTCTTCGAAGACTATTAGGGCCATTTCTTTGGCTCCTGATCTTCCTACCCTCATTACATACTGCTCATTGATCTGTTCAGAATCACTATTCATCCCAGTGCTCTTCCAGTTCATATTTTTATCTGTGAAGGGATACCATATGTAACCTGTTCATGCTGTTGTTGTTTTTAAGTGTAACACTGCTAGTTTTATGTACTTCTTTTTCAAAAATTTATCTATTTTGTTCAGACTGTCTCCCTCTTATGCCAGTCACTTTTGTACTAATTTTTTACATGTCGGAGCTTGCCTACCAGCTCTAGGAAATGCATTCCCTTTTGATAATATCCTCAAGTCTATACGCTACAAGCTGTTTGTTATGTTTTTTCCCATTTTGGAGGTGTCACCTTTGCATGTGTACCTCCCTAAAGAAAGTTAACAGGATCAAATTAAATGTTGGATATTTTTCCAACCCTCTGCCTGCCTTTGCATTCTGCTGGTAACTCTTACTCATTCATTGTGTATTTTTCTAATTGAAAGAAACCCTCTCTTGTTGGGTTGTTAAGGTGTACATACCACACCAGTTCTTCTCACTGTTGTAGCTAGTACTTGAATACTTGCATTTAGGGTAATAAATGCTTTGATGTGCCAGATCTGTTTTGTTCAGTTTGCCTGATATCCAAAAAAATCAATAAAGGTCCAATCTGGCATTTTGTACACTATGATTTCAAATGTGATGCAGCATTTAAGATACTTCAAGTACAAGGTCTTTGTGGACCAGAATTATATTTGATTATCAATAATAATATTTTGTTTAATTTAGGAGGAGGGGTTGAATATTGAGTGAGGGGGAAAAGGCATCCACAGTTTTGTAAGATCAAAAGAAATTAGGGGAGCAAAAGTTAAAATCAAAGAATAGAACCTTTACAAATTATTTAATTAAAATTTGGGGGGTTTACAAGGATTACATGAGACTTTGGTGAAGAAACTACCAGCTACAATTCTCAAGAGAAGCAAAAATTAAATGTTGTGTGTACCTAGGAGTACACTGCAATATCACAGAAAAGCACAATAGGCAAAGAAGCTAAATAACAAGAGTATTTGTCTATCAGTCCAACAACTGCCACACACATTTTGCACAAATTTCTTTTCAGTAGGAAATAATTACACAACACATTCTGCAATGAGGTCACAACTTTGACAGTGTCATATGCTTCTTAAAAATTAAATCTGATTTAAGGACATTGACAGCGAAGAGCGTATGAGGAGCTTGTGCCTGCAACGCAAAAGATATATTATTCTTTAGTGGAGACAGGCAATCAAATAATCATGAAATTAGCCTCCACAGGTAGGTTGGTGATTACATTAAGAAATACGTACTTTTATTGCATGGCAAAGAATCCACCATTAAAAATGCTGCTGCAGAGAGAAATGGGTCCTTTAGGATGATTGATTGTCGCCCAGAAGACATTGACGGCAAGGAGCACCGAGGAACTTGTGCCTGCAACGCAAAAGATGTGTTATTCCTCAGTGGAGACAGGCAACCAAACCATCAGAAAGTTAACCTCCACAGGTAGGCTGTTCATTTAAGAAGTACAAGATCTAAAGCACAACGATACACAACAATATTGTGGATTAAACGGGGAAGAAAGGGAGGAGTTTTGCCCAATGCAGCTTTGACGAAATACACTAAGTGAGTTTAACTTCCAGAGTAAAACTGAGAGGTGGGAATCATCGGTGACAGTCATGCCAGAATGCAATTTACCCCTTTCATAATATGGCTACCTTGAGGCAGGTAAGTAACCATCTTGGGCGCAATAACCCTTGTTAAGGTTAACCAACGGTTATAAAGAAGACACTTGCAAGATGGTTCATCCGTCGAAGATAGTCTTTTGGGGCGATATTTCCACGGATACTCATTTTACGTGACACTGGCATTGACCCTGTAAAAATAAGTAGAAACTGACTAAAATATATGCATAGGGAAAGAGCTGTCGACCCGAATTAATTGGCAGAGCGCAATATAGGAGGCTTACCTCGAGAAGCGCCATAATAGACAATCGCAATAACAAAGCGTACGTGAAAAATATTTGAGATCATCTGATAGTCACTCTTTAAGAAATGAGAACATAAATATCTGCGATCGCATCGCACATCAGACGTGCCATGTTTGTTGTTGTTTTGCTGGACACATTCTGCTTCTGCTCCTGTGAAACCAACCCCAGCATACTATACTTCAAAGAAACAACTAAAGAACATAGAAGAAAAGAAAACGTTCATTTATCAAATTTTATTTTTTTAATAATTTTGTTTTGACATTTTTGCCACCTACCGCGCTTTGTGCTGTCTCTTTACAAAGTTCATCGAAATATCAAGGTTGGCAGTTGGTAGCATTTTTCGCTCCTTCTCGCTCCTCCCTCCTCCCTCCCCCCTCAAGCGGAAGAAGGCGGAAGACAAAGAAGAACACTCTAAGGCAGTGAATTTTCAGTTTCCGGCTTGTCGAGTCATGTATGGAGGCAACGGATATTTTCTGAGTGTCTCTGTCATTAACTTAACTTTATTGTATTATTGTATTAATCTTAAATTAAAACACGAAATATGACAATCTATGGTTCCAAGTCACAGTTCAATTCAAATCGCTAGTGGTCGTCTCTTTTTGAGTTGAGTCCGAAGTTGTTACTCGCCTCTGCGATCAAACGGCATCAGGTTTGTAAGTATCCCATATTTTCCAGAAAACTATCGTGTATCCTTGAAACCTTTATGGTCAAAACCTTCTGCAGTTGCATTGTTTCCTATCTCCGATGGAAAAATGAATGATAAGATTTCAAATGACCGCTATTTTCCGGCCCAGCAGAGGTTATGTCGTACCTCGTTGGTTGTGTATTTCATACGTTTAAATCAACAATGTTTCCTTGGCTGGAAGCTGTTTTTGGACAATTTCCGATTTCTGTTTAGATTATTGACTATGTCCTCTCTCAACAGGTTTTGGTTGCCATGCGAATTATTTCCAAACCAACTTCCTGTTGAATGGTGTTTGCGAATTGGCTCACAATTTCTTAAAGGGTTAAAAGGTCAGTACCTATAGGTCTTTTCTTAATCACATTACTTTACATTTCGTATACTTACAATGTTATTCTATTGTCAGGAGGTAATGTCCAGCTTTATTCACAAGTTCCGTAATCCAATAGCTGTTTGCTCTTAATTTGCTGTTGAATGGTGTTTGCGAATCGGCTGAGAATTTATTGGAGGGTTGAAAGTGAAAAGGTTGGTTGCCAT